GATGGTGATGACAGTTCTCCATATTTTCTGCAGAATACATGAACTATGCTCCTCCGAAAGATATGTGTCTTGGAAGTTCAGCTAGTGTAGTCGTGGAGAGACAATCCGAATAAACACAGAAAAAATGTGCGAAGTGACAGTACCTGGCAGGTACTGTCACGAACGAGCAGGTACTACCTGCTCGTTCGCTCACTCAGCAATTGAATATTTTACAGCTTATTCTGAACCCAAGGATGGGGATTGCACTGTAGTTCAGCTTCTCGTGTGCCTATCTGTCGCGGACCAGGACGCCGCCCGTTATATTTCGGCCGATTTTGCTGCAATGAACATGATATCTATTCTTTTGCTGCACCTTTCAAGCGCTGTAGATATACGACTCAAACGGGACTGTTTTAAACCTAACATCATTTAGCTACAGTCCATGTGATTCGCGTTTACTTCAATGATGTTTCCCTGACTCAGCGGGAAGTTAGCACTGTCGTTAACGAGCACTCACCACATGCTCAGGAGACAATAGCCACCTTCACCTACAAGTCTTCCGGAAGGATCCATTACCACTGCCACTGCAGTAAGCACTATTGATTTGGAAATGAACGGCCACTGAGAAACATGCGCCCTACAGCCTCGCAACGCAACTAGCCACTCAACAGATGTGCTTAAGAACAGCAGCCTGAGATGGTCGGTACAGAAGCTACGCTATAGCCACCCAATCACGACACTTTCAATACGCTCAGCAAGGTTTCCAAATCTTGCCAGCGGGGCTATGTTTGATTATAAGAATGAGAGCCGATCAGACTGATCAGCTCTGTGGGGGACCTTCAATACATATTCGAGTGTTGGTCATCTGATCGATCCAAGACCTAACTGAACTAACTCAACACCACCGATGATATAATAGAGCAACTCCAACAAGGGCGGAACAATGACTTCGCAACGCCGCAGCGAAATAACAACTATCAATGGTATAGAAGATTCCGTGCATATTCCCAAATACCATCACGACAACTGATAATGGTGATACTCCTGATATTACGGCTAACAGTCACCACTGATCCTCACTCATTGCAAACAAAATATCAAAAACTACATGATGATACCGGGAAGATGTCCATTCTACCGTTCCGCACCCGTGTGGTGGATGACCCTAGATTTGGGGGAGCACTAGTTAAGACACCACTTAGGAGTCTACTCTCGAGGTCGGACAACAAGACGGTATAAATGATACTCAGCTACCGCACATAACCAATCGAAACTACTAATGTTAAAGCATGCCACCAGTAACAGTGCCATTGGTGACAGCCTGCTAGACTTCAGCATAACTTAACAACAAAAAGGTGTTCAGACTATTGCTCCGGTTGCTCGTCATTCCCCCACTGCTC